GCCCCTAGTAAAACCTTTTAGGACAGGATGGGTTTGCCACGATTTCTACCTAATAAAGTTCTTTCTGAACTAATTCCATGATGTATGCGTGTGTGTGTGTGTGTGTGTGTGTGTGTGTGTGTGTGTGTGTGTGTATGCATAGATTTATTTTTTCTTGAAGACCTGCCAGTTGAATCTAAGGCCTCACACATGACAGGCCAGCTATTTGCCAATCAGCTATACTCCGATCGAGACTACATTGAAAATTTTTTTATCATAATGTATGAAAGAAATGTTTGTGGGTTATATTTATGGTTTCATTGTGTTTTATCATAATTGCTGTAGACTTTCGCAATAAAAACTCCCTTGATGAGGACGTGGACTTGTACAGTGAGTAGTATTTCTTCAGGTTATTCACAGTCCCTGCCCATGTTCAGATGTGCAGTCATAATGAAGATTAAATATTTCTTGGTCGGTTCTGATTGCTTTGGCTTTTTCTGCCATACCAGATCTTGCTTGTACTTTTGTACTTCTCCTTGGAGAGAGAATTAAAATAGAGAGAAGCAGCTTCAGGAATTGACTGTCCATGCCTCATCTGATGCCACTTTGATGTGCTGTCACCCTTGGGAGTCCACACACACTGTCATTGCTGCGCCCCAGGAGTCTGTGTGCATCCCCCTCGAAGCCCCTGCTCATGCTGAGGAGAAGCAGATGTGACATTCAGCCTGCCTGGTCATTGCAGCCTGATGATAAGCACAGCCTCAAGAGCTGCTGGTCACAGTGTCATCTTTAAAACTTGTACCTATGTTTTTTTTTAAGAGATTAGTATAATGAGACTTTCTTTCTTTGAGGAAAACTATTATGATATAAATTTTAAAACCCCAGATTGGAATAAACACATTGCTAGCCTTCCTATTTACTGTTTTCTTACACTTGAGCAAGTTACTCCCTCTCCTCAGATTGTCTCTTTAACTGCAAAGTATTTATATACTGTAATAGCATTGTAGGTAATCTCCACAGTGACAATGATTGGATAAAAGTGGGTTTGTGGCTATTGTTATACATGGTGACAGCTATATTCTAGTAGTATAAAATCAATACTATCTTCTATGCTGAAGTTATTCTGAGCCAGTATAAACTGAAAGATGTTTTATTGTTATTTACAAGAACCACAAAATTTTAAATCAATTCATATGTAATGATACAGAACCTTAAAAACTGAAATGTTTCTGCAGCCAAGTGTGTAGCCTAGCTAAACAGGTGGCTTTATAATTAAGGTTATCTGAAATTTTTCATAAACTATATTAAACATGGACTGCTCACGGTGCATAATTGGTAGCTTAGTCCTTTTATAATAGTGCCTTTCGTATTCCACTGGAACATGGCCAGTAGATGTGCAATAATCTTCATGACTATTAGGAGAGGGTTGGTGTACTGCAGCTTCTGTGCCATCTCTGCTTTTGGCTGGAAAAATGCTGGGAGCAACAGAGGCTTCTATCAGCGGGGAGCCATATTAATTATTTGAAATGTGCCTCATAAGAGGAATCGGCAGTTTATTACAAGTCGAATATTACTTCAAAAGGGAAGGTTACTCTAACTGTTATCATAATCTATGTATCATTAACTTTCCTTGTTTAGGAAAAGAGATTAACAGCCCTGTAAATTGCTATAGTAAATGTGAGAACTATAACTGTTTATTCCCATGTAGGAAGAAAGTGGTATGTTCTTCACTTCTATCCAAATCTTCCCTGCATAAAGCAACTTTAGAAAATGAATTGCCTCTGTAATTATACTTTCCTTCCTCAAAAATCTTAATTGTTTGCTGCATCAACTATAGCTACTCTGAGCATTAGAATTATTTGTGTGTGTCTAAACTAATCCTTTTAGCACAAGGCCTCACTATGTTGCACAAGCTGGCCATCAAATAAGCTAATCATTTTTTAAATCATCATTTTGGCTTTTAAATGAACATTAGCACTTTAGTTTATAAGATAAAGGATTTATTATGAAGAACTATGTAGGCAGATACAGTGCTTTATAGGGAACAGAAAATGGATCCACTTACCTATTTTTTTTTTTGTTTTTTGCAGTGTAGTAAGTCCATTTTTTTAATCAGATAAAATAATCAGGTAAAAAATATTTTCTATTCAAATAATAAAGGAAAATCCTCAAGATAAATGTAAGTTACTTAGAGGGGAAAGTGATCTAAGTAAATGTGATGCAAAGCATTTTCTGTATCTTGTGTTTTTGTCTGCCAACTGTTTATTGCTGATCTTCACAGAAATAAGTAGTGATGCAAGTGTTTATAAAAACCAAAGCAAGCCGACAGAGCACTTAATGTCTGTATAATCTAACAGCAAAAAATGGGGGCTTCAAGAATTTACATTTTTTTTTCTTACAGGGGCCGGGAGATAGCTCAGTAGAATAAGCACTTTCCGTGGCAAGTGCAAGGGCCTGAGTTCAGTCCCCGGTTCCGGGGGGGGGGGGGGGAATCACACTACTTTTTTCTTACAATACCTTTTGAAAATTTTACTCCTTATTAAATTTATTATTTAACCAAAGGGGGTGCGGGAACTTGGTGGACACAGCCCTGACTTAGTCCTGAGAATGTCCGTGTGATGCAGTGTGGCCTATGATTGGGCAGTTCTGTCTCCGCTCTATCTTCACTGTTGATTCAGTGTTCAGAGAAATAGTGCAGCATCATAGAAACCAAAAGATGTGAAGCATTGTGTTCTAACATTTCTCCTTGTGTCCACAGGGCAGGCGCATCATGGGCAAGTTTCCTACATTTCCCCACCCATTCACCTTGACTCCGAGCTCGAAAGACCCCCAGTGAGAGGTGAGCTTTTCATGATTTGCTAAGAGAAAGCAATTGAAGAGGATTATATATATATATGGATTTTGTGATTCTTGTCTGTTTAAAAAGTGGGAGGGAATATAAAGCATGTGAATAACTGGTGTCCGAGCAAGTCTAATTAATATACTGAAGTGTGAAGTGTTGATCTGTATGTAACAAAAGCCAAAAAAACAATGACTTCAGGAATGGGAGATGCATGCTTACTCAACTAGTCATGGACTAGTTAAATATTAATGAGATAAAGAGATCACCCAGGTAGCATTATTTGGCTTGGAAATTCTTTTGCCATCATCCTGTTTTTCACATTAACAAAGCTTTCACCAAAGTTTGTTGAGATCATTTTTCCCTTGAAACCTGGTATGGTATTATTATTTGTACATGTTCATATTATTGTAATCATTCAGTGTTAAAGCTGGGTGTGGTGGCACATGCCTCTGGAGGCTAGGGAAGGAGAATTGTAGGTTAAAGCCCAGCTTCAGCAACCTGGGACTTAGCAAAGCACTTTCTCAAAATAAAAACATAAAATAGGGCTGAAGATGTAGCTCAGTGGCAATCCTTGATTGATCCTTGGTTCAACCCTCAGTGCAAAATAAACAAATTTCTGAATTTTAAATTGTGTGGCATTTAAGTTGAATGTTTAAAAATTGTTGTATGAAATAAAAATGGAAAGATGACCTTTCCTAACTCAAAATTACACACAGAATTCATTTTCTGGTTTTAAACAAATCTGGTTTTATCCATGATTTTCAAAATGTGTCATAATAAGCAAAATTGATATGATACAGATATTAGCTCCAAATTTTGTAAATATCATCTAGTCTAAGGTGGATTTGGGGTTTTGACTAACACGGCCTATTTGCTTCCGCTTCGAGGGTGCGCATCAGTGGATGAGTCACCAGGCGCACCTTAAGCACCTTACTAATCTGGCCAGCCTCAGCTGGGGTCTCCAGGCTCTGTGCTGTCCTCACTTCTCAGTTACGCCTCTGTAACTTTCCTTGGGGATGAGCTCTGTTTGTGTCTCTGCCCTCCAAATGCCTAATGCTTCTCTAAGTGGTTAGGTCCAGGACACTGCAGGTCATTCTGCCTGTCCTGTGTTTCCCTCTCTTATCTGAATGCCCGATGAGGACACAGAGCATCATAATTATTTCTCTGCAGCCATTGGTTTTGCTTGACGCGTAGCAGACAGTCATTCCACGTTTTCTTTTCTTTTTATGTACTTAGTACAGGGTCTCACTACACAGATTGGACTCATAGTGATCCTCCTGTTTTTAGCCTCCCAAGTGCTGGGATTACAGGCACGTGCCACCACACCCAGTTGCATTTGCTGTCTCAGCTTGCCTCAGGCGTGGGGCTGGCACAGCAGGCTAGGGACCGAACCCCAGGCCCCTGTGTCTGCCTAAGCAGGTGCTTTCATCTGCTGAGCTATATGGCTGGCCCTAGTCATTTGGTCTTTTCTGTCCAAATGACTGAGAGCAAAATTAACAGAATAGACTCTGGAAACCCATGTTTGTGTTCTTCAGAAGCAAAAGCAAGCAGAGATGATAAAGTCATCTCAAGAAGAAGGAAGAGCATGAAGAAGTACACTGAGCAATGGAAGAGTGCGGTACTTCTGAGGGGGTGTGCTCTGCCCAGGAATAGAGGGGCAGTTCTGGAGGGAGCGATCACAGTGATGCACTCAGCCTGGTGGAGACAGATTTGGTGTCAAGACGATGGGTCGAGATTCTACCTTGGTGATTTTCCACTAAGCCAATCAGGTCTTACAATATCAGCTCTTAAAGACAGGCTGGTCTCTAGACAATGAGCTGCTCTGGGAAAAGCCTGCCGGAGGGAACAGGGCTGGTAGTTCAGGTGGAGGGTGATGGGGTGGTTAGTTAGCAAAGTATTTTGTGACAGTGTAAGGGTGTGAGAAACATTTTTGCTATATTTGGCTGACCATGTATAGGAAAGGGGGGCCAGGGATATAGCTCAGTGGCACATTGCCTGCTTGGCAAGCGCAAGGTCCTGAGTTCAGTTCCTGGTACCAAAAAAGAAAAAAAAAATTTAAGAGTGAATATATATAAGAAAGAGGACTAAGGCCCAGATGTTTCTTTATTAACATGATACTGTGGTTTGACTCTTTGTGCCCTCTAAACTTTGTGTTGAAACTTATCCTCAGTGCAATGATAATAAGACTTGAAGCCTTAGGAAGTATTAGGCCATGAGAGATCTACCTTGTGGTTGGATTAATGTCCTAAGAAAAGTGGAGGAAGCTATCTAGTTCCTCTTCTTTTCTTCCACCTCCTGTGAGGATAGAGAAAGAACAAGAAGGAAGAAGCAGAGGAGCCCTCACCAGACATAGAATCTGACTGCTCAGCCTTCAGAACTATGAGGCAATCAATTTTGGTTCTTCATAAGTTACCCAGTACTGGCATTGTGTTATAGCAGCACAAGTCAGCTGAAACAGACCGGAAAAAAGAGCATTGTGTCTTGATAATATAGAATAGAGTTTTGCTTTGGGCAGCCCCCACAGAAATTGTACATTTTACTAATACTTTTGCATTCATTACTCTGGTTTATGGGAAGAAACATGATCTTTAAAGCAAGGCAAAAGAAGAGAATGATTGGGAATCTCCAGTCATTTGTAGAACAAATATAATTATGCCATCTTGGAAACTTGCTTAGAATTAATAAGCAAAGTAATATATGGTAAGCTCCCTGCAAATAGCTGGCGTATGTCAGACCTTGAAGATTTGGTTGGTGGGTAGAAGCTTAGGTAGTCACCATTACGAGCTTGGACTCAGAAAGGCCCTAAGCTTTGTAGTGATGGTACTGAATTGCTAAAGGTAAGGACAACAATACAAGAGTTTCTACATATATTGACCTGAATTCCTGATCTTTGCCTTAAAATAACTGTCTTGCTAGTTTCTATTTGTCATAGCATTCCTCTGCAGGGTCAACCCAGAGACCCCCATAACTGCCATGAAATTAATGACACTGCAGATATACTGACATAATCGTGTGACACAGCTCTGTAATTTTTGCTTAAAAAGCTATTGAAATGAGACATTTTGCAAATTTCTAAAATATAACTGCAGATTTTTTTTCAATTTTCTTAAGCTACTTAATTCATTTTAAGACAAATATTGGACATGACATAGTTGGCATAAAATATCATTAGTTAGGAACTATACAATATTTCCAGTCACTCTAAAGGATCAGTTAATTATTTTGAATATAGTGTAAGCTATTGGTGGTATGTAAATTCAGTCAAATTATATATTTAAAATATGCATATATCTATCCATCTGTTTAGCATATCAGAATGGGGAAAGAAGAGACAGAATATTTCTTGCATATTGCAAGTTTCTATTTGATTTTTTATAGAATGACAAGTTATGCTCTTTAAATAATTGTCATTTTATGTCCAACGATTTTGTAGGCAATTATAGAACAATCTCCTATAAGCTCCCTGTATACCAATGCTAGCTAAGCATCTCAGCTTTCCTTTTGTCTTGTGTCACTACTGCAATTTTATTCATGTGGAAATAGGAGAAATATCTATTGCTGTTCCTGACTTTATTGGCCCGTGGTTCTGTGTACTCTCTTTCTTCAAGAACTATTGCTTTGTGTGGTAATTCTTCCTGTATTTCATCAACTGGACTACAAAATAAATCCCTACCTGTGAATTATTTTGGGTTAAATTCACATGTTACATGTCACCATCCTACTGTCACTGCCATTTGGCCTGGAAAAAGTTTTCAATTATATTCATGAATGTGCTCCTCACAGTATTCTACTTTGTAAATATTCTGTATTTGATTTATGCCCAATGTGTTTTCAGTACCCATAAGGAAAATCTAACAACAACTTACAAAACAAGCCATGAATAAACTGTTGTGCTCTCTGTAGTTGTAAAGTAGCTGCTGTGTGTAAATTCAGTGGCACTCACCCACTAATGACTGGATTTGAGAGATTCTGTTCTTTAAATCTAATGTGATCATGCATGGCCTTTGGTTGCATAATTTGTGGCTATGATGACTTTATGTGCATTCTTCAATTTACAGATTTTATTACTGAATAGGGGTGTAAATTCCAATAGTTTACTAGTGCATTAATGTCACAATACATTACAAGGTAATTAACCAGAGCTGCCACTATAAATAGAAAAATAGTCACAGCCTTCACTATAAACAACTTAATAAAAATAAGGTCCTGAATCAGCATTCACCATTATAGTAATTTTTCTTGACATATGTCTCCTTAATCAGGACTTAAAAAAATGGCTTCATCTACGAGCACTATTATTTTTAAAACTTTCATTATTAAAACAACTTTGCTACAATTTTGGAGCCAATTTAATAGGATTGATTATGAGTATCTCTATGCAAATAATTTCTACATGCCTTTGAGACACACTTCCTAGGTTTGTGTAAGTGGAAATGAAAGAAATACTGCTTTAGTAATTTTGTGGCAGATTTGTAAATAAATCCATTGTAGTTTGTAGCAGGGCTCGTGAAATGCTACAGTTCTTAGTCTTGGCCAGCTCTCCTCTGTGGAAAGCTTTATTTTGCCTGATCCTGGGTATGTGCAGAGCACCTTACTGGAGAGCATGCCTAAATTACAGGCAGACTGATCCAGCCAGGGCGATTCCTTGGGACTCAGTGCAGAAGTTGAGTCAGACGTTGATCAGAAGTGAGTATTATTTGAGATTTGGATATGTGAGTTGAGCCATGCCCTGCAGTTGAGGTTTTGTTGTTTTCATTTGTTTGTTTGCCTATTTCACTGATCTTCTGTACAGTTTGCCTTAGCAGTTGAATACAGAACCCAACCTGGACTTCTTCCTATCACCAGCAATTTAAGTCAGATAAATTCTTTTGAGTAACCAAGAAAAGTCATGAACTTCTCTTTCTGTATTACTGAAGGGGATAATTTGATTGTATTGCTATATAAAAAATCTGATCATTATTGGAAATAATCTACCTTGTAATATGAAACCATTTAAT